TTTTGTTTTGTTTTTGTTTTCGTAACTTATAAGTCATCTGGGTTGTTTTCCATCACTGGGAGTAAATCCAGGGTAGCAATCTTCTCTCTCACATAATCTTGTCTAACTGTGACCTCCTATGCATACAGCAGACAGAGCCAAGATAGTGGAAGAACACGGACCAAGCTAACTATGGAGGAGCTGAAAGCATTTGTCCAACAGTTATTCAGCTTGCCCTGTGTTATCAGCCAGGCCCGACAAGTAAAGGTAGGTTTACGTCTACTTCTTGGACATATTGTGTGTGAAGGTTTTTTTGAACGGATAAGATGACCTGGTGGCAAGAGCTGATAGATATTTTTCTTTAACAATCAGCCCTGCACTGGCAGAGATAAATTGAATTGTTTCATTTCAAGCTTTCAATAGTAAGCAAGTAGCTGCTTTGCAATGATATGTGTGGCCCAAAGGAAGGAAATAAAGTATTTTGGATAGATCTAGCTTAGTATCTCTGTGCTTTACTGGATAGTCTTGTAGTTGCCATTGCAGTTTTACAGATCAGATGTTTGTGTGTGTACATAAAAGAGAGGTACATGCATTCCCGTGCGTTTTCCTGCTCATTTGCAGGGATGATTCTGTGTTAGGCAACTAAGCAGAGCACTTAAAAAAACAAATAGATATAGTAATGCAGAGGTGCCTATTACAATGGTCATGGTCAAATGTGCTGATCTTGCTGTGTCTAAACCAGGTAAGACAGCTGTCTGCTATTGTCTAGGCCACCTGGATTTATCTTAGCAAACCAGTTATTGCTTTTACAGCATCGTTAAAACTACCTATGGAAACAAAGTTCTGCTAAATCCTGCTCTTTTTGTACCTCTCTATAAACTTCTGAAGGTTATGCTAATGTGCTTTTTAGGGAAGAGGGAAGGCATTACCACATCAGTGATTCTTCACTTGAATATCTAAATACTTCTCAGTATACCCTTAATTTGTATGCGTGGCCTGTGCAGCTTGTTTCTTCATATGTAACTTTGCACCTGTCTTTGAATGAATCCATACTGATAAGTGATCCAGATCATACCGATTCCCCTGACTGCTGTTTTCATTTATCACTCCGGCAGTCTGTATTGTAGTAAATGTTTTCAGCAGTGATCTTGTTTGCTTTTGTCATTGATGAAATGTTAAATAAGGTTTTACTGTACTATCCAACTTCTGAAAAAAAAACCTTCAAGAAACATCCTGAATCAATAATGCTTTTTCATCTGGAGAAAAAATTATTGAGATGTATCTGTTAACTGTTTGTTAACCTTCACGTTCTCTAGCAGTTTTAGTACAAGTGTTGTCCAGCCCCAACTTCTATAATGCTAAACATACTTCTGTATGTGTAATTGCAGTTACCTAACCAAACATGTGATTTAAAAATAATGGCATTGCTGTGCTAAGAAACTGTTTTTCCATAAAGTACTATTTACAAGTGTTAGTTGGGTCCTTCTTAATCCATGAATTCTGTATTGACATTACCATGGTAATTTATTGTTGATGTTGAACAGAGACTTAATCCTCCGTTGTCTCCATGGAATATGGGTCTTGACATGTTGTTCTTGAAAACGTGTATAATCAGAAAACTCTCCAGCAGTCCAGGGTTTAGATTATCCAAGCTCTTGACTCTAGTCTTTATCCTTCAAAGATGTTAACATGTTCCTCAGTTGCTAATGGAGTGGAAAGTATATTATCATCCTCATATGAAGGTTTTACTGCATTTCTTTCCAGATAAAAAATAGAAATATTTACTGAGCATTTTCTGCCTCATGAAATTTCATCGTCTTTTATTAATGGACCTATAAAATTGCTAAGATTTCTTTTTCTAATGTATTTAACACCTGCTTCTAATGTCCTCAGCTCTGTCATCTATGTATTTTCTCTCTTAATGTCTTTAATTATCTTTGCTAATTTCCTAATGGTTTGTTGGTTCTTGTTTAGTTATTTTTTTGACTACTGCGTTCATTTGCTAGGGAGCTTAGTAAGGCTTTTAGGCCACACAATAAACTCTTCATGGTTTTAATTCATATTTCTATCTAAACTTTTCCTCCCAACTAATCTCTCTTATTTTCTTCAGCCTTAGGAAATTAGCTTGTTGAAATACTCTTATGCGTGTTCATGTTTTTGAAGCTTCAACATCATCACTAACCCGTAAAATAGATAAATACACAATTTTACTGTTGAAAATTATAGCCTCTTAGCTTATTGAATGAAGTCAGCTAACGATCATTTATGCCTAAGCACTCACTAACTTTTAGGATGGCATTTGAATGTAATTATCCATTGTAATGAATTGCAAAACAATTATGTCATGTTGGATGATGAGTATTTTCTAACACAAAAGACATTGTGATTATTAAACTGTAATAATTCAGTGTTGTCAGTATGAAGCATTCAGCATATGTTTCCTAAGTCAAAATCCTTAGAATATGGATCTCTTTCTCTTTGTTGGTAAATGCCTTCTCCTTCAGACAGTTGTGAAAAACAGCGTCAAGACATGAAGAGCTGTAAACTGAGGGTTAGGAAATCCAGGCTTGGCTTCTTATTGTGCCGCTGACTTGCTGTCAATAATGTGTCTTTTTGTAAGAGACTCAGGCATGAATTAATTGTGTGTGCTGGTTGAATGTCCTTGAATGAATCTCCTGCAGGGATTCTTTCCCTTCTGTTTGTATTATTGGTTTATATTTTCACTTTGGTGGCAAAAGGCACATAAGGACAAGGAGAATTGCAGCAGTACAGTTGGATTTCTGTAAAAATTATCTTCCTTGGTCAAATAGCTTTTCATTTACACTTCTTTCCTGCATAAGCTAAAACTATTAAGTGGTGAGCATGCCTTGGGGGATTAATCACTTTAAACTTGACCATCATTCTTTTAATGATCTTACGGTACTCATGTCCCTATACAACTGTAACCTATTTTTTCTCCTCAAAAAGTTGAATTCTGTTGTGTATTATCATCATTAGTGTCTTTGACCCTAGTCTGAAAGGATGATCTATTTGCACAAGTTTCTCGACATTTTTTTTTTTTTTAAAAAAAGAAAAGTAGTGTCTTCTGAGCATTGCCATTTTGTTTTCTGGGGATCTGCAATGAACTGAGGCTGCACAATTTTAGTTGCAGACTTTGATGCAACTAAGATGCAGTGTCTGAGATATTAGAGCAAATCAGTTTAGTCTGTTATTTACATCTGTCAGACTTCATGGCCTATGACAATGCAGCTGGTGTTGTAGAAGCCCTGACTCGTTATGGGCTGACCACTTAGAAAAATCACTGCTAGTGCATCCTCCAGTCACCTTTCCCGTTTGATTCTATGTGCTTTTCTCCTAATGGTTTTTTGCTGCACTTTACTTCAGAATCTGCTTGATGATGTTGAAGAATTTCATGAGCGTGCTCAGGAAGCTATGATGGATGAGATCCCAGACTCCTCCAAGCTGCAGGAGTTGATAGACATGGGCTCTGGCCTCTATGTAGAGCTTCCTGAACTGCCGAGGCTGAAGCAAGAACTGCAGCAAGCACGTTGGTTGGATGAGGTGAGATCCACCCTCTTGGATCCTCAGAGGGTCACCTTAGATATGATGAAGAAGCTGATCGACTCGGGTGTTGGCTTGGCGCCACATCATGCTGTAGAGAAGGCCATGGCTGAGCTGCAGGAACTGCTTACAGTGTCGGAGAGGTGGGAGGAGAAGGCCAAGGTCTGCCTGCAGGCACGGTGAGTGTTCCTTGGCAGACTCTTCCTACGTGTCACCCTCTTGGGGCTTTTCGAGGAGTGTGGTGAGAAGCAGGGGCTTTGAAACTTTAATGTGTTTCTTTACCTCCCAGCAGTTTGATGCTGTTTGATTGCCCAAGAGTTGATTTGAGGTAGTTAACGAGCTGCTGAAGAGTTAGTAACCTGTTGGGCTGGACAGTGGCAGGAGGGTGTGAGTGTTGCCACTATCTTTGCTATTCTTTAAAACATAGAGCACAAACTCCAAACACTGAGTATGCTACAAATGCCACCTTCTTTTATGTTAAGGAGTTCTGACTAACTGCCCGTTAGTAGCACGCAGCCCCTCAACTTTCTCGCCTTTGCCCTTGTCTGATAGCTAGTAGCATCCTCCACGAATAGAGCCACGGTGTCCCACACTGCAGGGCCGTGCTAAAGTTGCACCACCAGCCTGTCAGGCTCATGGCTGTAGTTGACTGGCATTTTGAGAGAAGGCTGGAATCAGGTTTTTCTTACTCTAGACCACGCCAAAGCATGATGGCTCTGGAGGGCATCGTGAATGAAGCAAGGAACATCCCAGCTTACCTGCCCAATGTGCTGGCACTGAAAGAAGCCCTGCAGCGGGCTAGAGACTGGACAGCCAAAGTGGAGGCCATTCAGGTAGGGGTTACAGCAGGGACTGGAATTTACTGCTTGCTTCCTTTTCCTTGCAAGTCCTTCCAGACTTGCCCTCTCTTCCTAGCCACTCTGACCACAAAGGTGACCAGAAGGGAAAACTTGCTATAACTATTAAGTCTGCTAACTTTAGTTGCTGTGCTTGAATTCCCTTTCCTTTTCCTGTGCTGCTGTTTCCCCATTGGCTATCCAATTTCTATGTTTCCCTTATTTTAGGGCATTTCCCAAGGGGTGTAAAGGTTGACAATTTTACTATGATACAAACTGTAGAAGGCCCTTATTTAATACTAAAGCTATTTTTCAGTGACGATACGTGGAACATCCTTAGTTGTCATGGGAGATGTTATGCTAACAGGTCATTAGTTGTGCAGCTTGCTATAGAATTGTGTGTGGGGTCTCCCCTGCCAACACTCTTTTTTTTTTGGTCATCTCCAACGTGTTAAATAATTATTTAAGGTACAAGATGTAACAGCACTGGTGGATGCAAATCTCTGTTTGAAATAGATGTATGTAGTTATGTAGTACCTCTTCTGTTGCCCTGCGCGAATGATTCAAATGTGGTCTGAAAGGGGCATGGGTTTTGTGGTATTTGTAGGTCTTGACCTCTGGACTGCAACTGGTGTTCTTATATCACATGTGCTTTGGGAATTGAAGTGAGATTCCTAGCTCATTTCACATCAGCTTGCTGTTAATGAGATAGATTTAAACCAACCATTTGGAGATGAAACGTTGTCTTATTCCCCAAGCCAGCTTGCCAGGTCTGTGGCTGTTAAAATAGAAACTGTATGAGGTAGAGGACTATTTTTTAAAGTACCTGTAAAATTGCAACCCTGCCCTTCTTTTCATGCCTTTGGAACCCTATTAATTGAAAAGGTCATTAATTACAATGGTGGAAGCTATGGCTTAGCAAATTGTCTTTTACCCCAGAATGGTAGCAACTATGCCTATCTGGAGCAACTGGAGAGCTTGTCTGCCAAAGGCCGCCCAATACCCGTGCGTCTCGATGCCCTGCCGCAGCTGGAGTCGCAGGTGGCAGCAGCGCGGGCCTGGAGGGAGCGCACGGGAAGGACTTTCCTGAAGAAGAATTCAAGCTACAGCCTTTTACAGGTGAGCAGCAGACAGCTCTATATCAGAGTGTTCTCCTCGGTCCCCTGCAGACTACAGGGAACTGCCGTTTCAGTTAAAGTAAGTCTCGAGATATAATAAGAATTCCAGCCTTTCTCAAGTTGAATCTCAAGGAGATGAATCAGGCAAAATGTGTGTTTCACCAGTGCTGTCTGACGTCTGGACAGTCTTGACTGTTAGTTTTGGAGAAACAGCTTAAAACTATGTTACTTGGGGAGGAAGGAAATGTGTGAGGAAGTGTTGTGTGAGCCTAGAAATACAGGGCTGAAAGGGAGTCATGTTATTGACAGATGCTAAATTTGCTCCACTTTTATATTTAAGAAATTTGTGAAATACCTAAATTTTATTTTAGAATTTGTCGCTTACTGTTTATTTCACTTCAGAGAGATTGACTATAAGCTTTGTTGTTATAAAATCTTTCATGTATTTTGAAGATCAATCATGTCTACTTTGACAGACTTTCCTTTTTTAGAGAAAAGAAATCCAGCTCTTTTAACTCATTCTCATAGGCCATGTTTTTCAAATGCTTGCCTTGTTGCTAGTCTCTGCAGTTTGTATTCACTTCTAGTGTGATGTCCAAAACCAGATAGAATCCTCCCACTATAGTTTCTGTAATGCTGAGTAAAATGCAATCATAAACTTTTGTATCTCAAAGGGCATAATGCTTTTTAATATTTCCAAATGAAATTTGCTGCTTCTGTAATTACATCATGTCAATTTTTGTTCTGTTTCTGATGCAATCTATGTCCAAATTTTTCAGTTATATTTTTCTAACTAGTTGTTTCACTATGCTCTGGTCTGCATTTGAGTTTGTTTTCCTGAGTGTATCAGTTTTCACTTCATATTGAATCTCGTTTACTAGATTTCATATTTCAGCATACCTTCCAACTAATCAAGATTATTTAAGATATAATCCTTGTCCTTGGATGCACATGCACCTTGTCACGGTTTGATATTATAAGATTTATAGCACTTTTGGGGGGATATTTTGATAAATTCATCAAATTGCAGATATAAATATCAAATCATGGCAGATCTTTCAGACCTGCAATTGATTAAAAACACCTAAAGTGAAAGAAAATAGATTGATATTTTACAGTGTACAGTTTCTTGATCAGCTGTGTGTATAACAACATAATCTAGATTGATTTTGTACCATAATTAGGACAATGCAGTGGTCTTCAAATTGACCTGCCAAATAGCTTTTGTGTTGGCTTTTGTCTAATTCTAAGATATGAACTGCTTTTATCCCTTTCTGTTTATTCCTTCTCTTCTACCACTGCTTGATAAGTATGGTAGTTGATAGATTGCTGAGAATTTTTGCTTTGCTCTTGTGTGACTGTTGTAATGCAGGCATTATGTGTTCTTACGTATGTGCCTGAAATCATAGCGTAGGTCAGAACTTCTGTCTTTTTCCATTGCCTGGCATCCTTGGTTCTGACAGTGTGAATTTTCCTTGTGGTTCCAGGTTCTGAGCCCTCGGACCGATATCGGTGTTTACGGGAGCAGTAAGAACAGACGGAAGAGAGCAAAGGAGTTGCTGGAGAAGGAAAAGGAGAAAGATCTTGACTTGGAATCCCTAAGTGAACTGGAGGATGGGCTGGAGGAGGCCAGAGACACTGCAGCTGTGGTAAGGAGCAGCGAAAGGTAGTGTCTCCTGATATGTGGGTTCAATAAATCTATATACTATTTTCTGTTGAAAACTGACAAGTGAATCTCACTGAAGCAAATACTTCTCAATGATGTGCTTGGTGCAGGAACAGAGGTCTGCTTTAATTGCAGTGAAAGTAGAGGGAAGCACAGTTCAGAGCAAAAACTGCTGGTATTTAATATGTATCTGACTATGTAAAAGACTTGAATGCTTTCAGATTAATATATGCAACCATTCATTTAATATTATGAATATGCCTAGAAAAAACATAAAAATATCTGGAACATGATGTCGTTCTATCTTCCTATCAAAGGCATATTTAGCTAAGTGGTTGCAGTACTCCAACCTGAATTAAATTACATTTCAAGTTGACTTGACAATTGTTCCATTCATTGCTGCTTAAGATTTGAAATTGTTAATTTATTGGCATAATTTAGCAAACTTAATTTTATTCTGAATTCCCTGACTGCAGATAGTGCTCGTTGTAGTGTGTGAAGTCTTTTTGCCCAGATGATGACATTCCATATTTCTTCATAAAAAATGAGCAAGGGTAATCTTGAAGGGTTTGGTCACAGAAAGTTGGTGGGGCGCAGAGCGAGGGAAGTTATGTGGTGGGGGAAGACTTCTCTGTTGGAGGGATGTTCACATAGCTTTTTGGAAGAATTTGCTGCTGTTTGGGTACCCTTTCAGTGGCAACAAAGAAAGTGTGTGCAGGCTCAGCCATCTGGTTTATATGTGTCACTTTAATATGCTTTGTTATAGTTAGCATCATTGAGTCACTGAGGAAATGTGAGTTCTTTCAAGAACGATATATGAAGCTCCTGCTGCAAAGTCTGTTTTGAAACTGTCATCTGTTGTATAGTCTTGGCAGATGGATGGTGGAACGTGGTTCTGACTTTGCTTCCTGGAACAAAAATCTCTTCTTCCGGTGACCTTAAAAACTTAGATAACACTCGAGAAAGTTTCCATTTATGTAGTATCTATTTCAGAAGGGCTTAGCAGGGCATTGAGAAAGTATTTTAACTAAAATTTTAATTAGATTACAGAATTTCTAAATTAGGGGCTAGTTTCACTAGGTAGATCTTTGTGGTATGTGTGTTTTTTCTTCATTCTTTTCCTACATTCCTGCTAAAATGTGATCTGCTAGCTGTGAAGCTCATGACCTGTTTTTGTCTTTTGGTGGGTAGGTGGCTATATTCAAGGAGCGAGAACAGAAGGAGATCGAAGCCATGCACGCCCTCAGGGCAGCTAACCTGGCCAAGATGACCATGGTGGATCGTATTGAAGAAGTCAAATTCTGTGTCTGCCGCAAAACAGCTAGCGGATTCATGCTGCAGTGTGAGCTGTGCAAGGACTGGTTTCATAGTGGCTGTGTGCCTCTCCCCAAAACAAGTTCTCAAAAGAAGGGCTCTAGTTGGCAGGCCAAAGAAGTGAAGTTTCTGTGTCCGCTCTGCATGCGTTCCCGAAGGCCCCGGCTGGAGACCATACTGTCCCTCCTAGTGTCTCTGCAGAAGCTGCCCGTGCGGCTGCGGGAGCGGGAGGCTTTGCAGTGCTTGACAGAACGTGCCATGAGTTGGCAGGACCGAGCACGGCAGGCTTTGGCCACCGATGAGTTATCCTCTGCTTTGGCTAAGCTTTCTGTGCTCAGCCAGCGAATGGTGGAGCAGGCAGCACGGGAGAAAACGGAGAAGATAATCAGTGCAGAGCTGCAGAAAGCAGCTGCTAACCCAGACCTACAGGTAGGCATGTTGCTATCTTGCTCTTTGCCATGGTAGTCCTTCAACGTGTGTGGAAATGCCTTATCTTTCTGTGAGAAGCTTGAAGGAAAAGGGAGTGCAATTAGAGGCTGAGAATAAGGCATATCCAAGTTACCTAGGTCAGTGCTGCTCAGTCTTCTTCATCCGTGGTTCGCTTCATGCTTTTCCATACTTCTCCAGGCAGAGGTCTGCTACTTTGTGCTAACTGTCAAATAACAACTTAACAAATGTTAAGAAACATTGGTTCAAATATAGCAGTGAGCTAATATCCTGAAGATTACAAAGCAATGACTACTTTGGTGTCCTAATTCCATTTCCCTCTAACAGGAGTAGAGTTGTCAGTAACTTCTCATGGTCATTCTGCAGGCATTCAGTACCTTGTTAATAAATTTCAGCATGGAGGCAATCCCTGGTACTTTTACAGGTGACCTCTTCATCTCGAGATCAGTAATCAGGTGATGCTGTGTTGAAGAAGAAATGTATACAATAACAGGATATATTAGATAGTAATGAACAGTAGTGTCTATGAAAGAAATGTCAATAGGTCAGAAAACAGAAGAGGAGAAAAAAAAAAAAAAGAAGGACTTGCATATTTCCTTATTTTTCTTTGCCCAGGCTTTTCTGTGACTATCTTGGCAGTTCTCTGGTGGCCAAAAGGGCACTGTTTTCTTTGCCGGTTACTCTTACTTAAACTCTTACATGGATCTGTCTGGAGTTTTATTGTTTCGTTCTTGTATTCAATTTGTCTTTCAGGGACACTTAACTAGTTTCCAGCAATCAGCCTTTAACAGAGTGATAGGGAGTGTGTCCTCATCCCCGCGACAGACCTTGGATTATGATGATGAAGAGACAGATTCTGATGAAGACATCAGGGAGACATATGGCTATGAAATAAAGGTAAGCAAACCAATATGGCATCTCTGCATGGAGCTAATCCACAGCACCTGTTTTCTTATTAATTCACTTTAATCCACAATAATTTTTTTGTGTATCTTAAGGCTTATCTACATACGTTCTGTCTTAGTTCCTGTTGTGAAAGAGTATTTTTGATTTTATCTGAAAATCTTAGATCTGGAATACTGTAAAGTTTTGTAACGTTTTTATTTAGAACCCTCAAATTCTGTAACTGAATTTTAAAAGTTTTTTTTATGCTAAGTAAAAAGTTAAACCTTTTATCGGGGTTTTTGTAGCCACAGTCAATTGTCCATCCTCCACAGTGTTACAGACTACATTTTCTGTATGCCATTGTTAAACATGTTACGTATCATAAATATAAATAATAGCCTGGGGAAACCTTCATCCGATTTTACTAAAACAAAGAATCACTCCGTGTAAGAAATACAAAAGCTTAGGAATCAGGAAACCTTCCTCCTTTTCTTTTTTTTTCAGCCCCCACATAGGGAGGTACAACTATACAGTTTCAGATGTGTGGAAATATCCAGGATTAAATCTTTGTATCGTGTTGATATGTGGATTAAGTTCAGAAATTAACTGCTGTTAGAAGTTTTTTTTTTTTAATATTTTATCTAGAGAAGATCTGTCATGAGAAGAGACAATTATAGAGATAGCAAAGTGGGCTTTTTTGGTTGTTTGGTGTGATGTATTTAATTATAAAACTTCTAAAAATGTCCCTTCAGAGAGAAAAGCAAAGCCATGTTTTTCCTCTGTGTAGTTTTTTTCTAAGTGATAGTGTCATATCTCTCTCCTGAGCTAAATTAATGCTGAAGAAATGAAGATGTTATATAAGCTATCCTAAAAGGCGATGTGATCATATAAATTGTCTTATGGCAGATTTTCTGTTTTCTAAAGGGATTGCAAATATTTCAGGTATGGTCTGCCTCAGTCTCCTTTTTGACTATTTTGTTTTAAAGCAGCTTTATGAAAATACATGCAGTTGTTTTACAGTCCCATATGAAATGCCTCCGGAAGTACATTGTAATTAGATGTTACATATTTTAATTAAATTAGTGTTAACAAGGAAAAATCATGTATTTCCAAACTCTTCTCAGAATCCGGGGTCATAATGAGGCGTTTCTGAAAGACCTGGCATTTTCTGAGGCTGAGAGAAAGCCTATGCCAAGAAAGATGGTATATGCTTGGCAGGATCTGAGGGTTTTGCAGGAGTGTAGCTTGTGCTCTGTTTAGTGCATTCCATTGTCAGGATTTCAGGATCTGCTATTTGCTCTTTTGATGTGGATGTCCATGGTCAAGCAAAGCTATTAGGGTCCAGAAACATCTTTTGTTAGCTCAACCAACATAACTGGAGAAAAAAAAGATAATTTTTCAGGCGACCAAATCATTCAGGTCTAAAATGGAAGCATCATACTTAATTGAAAATTGCAAAGTTGCTCAGAGTTTAATTATCTTTCTACTGATGGCTTTTTTTCTTTCCCATTTCCCCTGATTTGTAAACATTTTTTCAGGAGAGAGCTCTATTTAAACAAAGAAACACGTGTGTCAATATTATTTATGATGATATTGCTTATTTTTTTCTGGGGCCTGTGGAAGCAATCCCTGGATCCACAGACTATAGGTTAAAACCATTGTCTTGGACATCTCAAATATCAGTACCAAAAACAGATGCGAAGAGACTTGTTTGGTTATGTTATTCTACTTTTAATCAACACAATTCTTTCCAACAAAATACTTTGAGTACAATACCTAGACTTTTTTACTTTTTTTAAGTCTTGCTCCAGAAATTTGGACTGATATGCAGGTCAAACTTGCTGCAGTTTTTCTTGGTATTTAATTTGCCTCTTTTTTTTTTTTGATCAGTTTTACTCATTTGTACCATTGTTGCTTGTAGCCATCAGACGTTAGCACTTTTTTTCCCAAGAAATTCTTTACTTTGCTGCAAACTTTCTTTAATCTGGTTATATAGTGTCCAGAACAGGATACTGTAAAAGAGATGTCCTTACTGTGTAGGAGGAAATACCTTTTCCTAAATATATTTACTAGATGATTTTTCTGGTCAATTTAAACTTGAATTTCCTACTTATTCTGCACTAGTATCATTAGTATGCACTTCAGTTCTGTTTTAACGTGTAACTGGAAACCTGAAGGAGATTACCATTCCTAAATCCCCTTTATATGTCAGCATAAAGGATAGCAGCATCAGCAGCATTATTTGAGTGCTGCTTTTTTACGCCTTGGCCAATTTGGACCCATGAAACTAGCATGTAGCTTCAGTTGAACGTTGTCAGTCACCACTTCTTGTTTTCTGAAAGATCCAACTCTTACATTTCATGCTAAGTATATCTAACCTGTTGGCCAATTTCATCAAAATTTAACGTAGTATATAAGTTTTGGGAAGTGCTGTGAAAACAGGTAACTTGTTGAGGAAACTATCCTTACTGATTAGCGCTGCTCTGGGGTGAGGAAGGAGGAGAAAAAAAAGTATATTAGTATAGTATGTATCAGGGAATCAATTCTTGTGCCTTTCCAGATTCTCTGTATAATATAATGCAAGGTCAAAACAAAGCTTCTTCCACTGATAAGGGATTCCTAATTTCTCTTCTCCTTGTGGATCCACCCACATCAAGGCATGCATCATATTTCCATCTTTGTGTAATCTATTTAAAAAGTCAAGCTAGCATATGCAGTGAATTGAACACAAGCCAATGCCTTCATTATTACATTCACAAAAATATTCACAACAGTCTTAA